TATCTAAAGCGGTGGCGGAAGCGTCCTGTTCAAACAATCAGCAGCAGCAGCACCAGCCGGGGAATTTTTCAACGTTTTTTTTTTCCTCTCTAGCTGATGACGATGGATAGCACCCCCCCCCTCTCTAGCTGGTGACGATGGATAGCACCCCCTCCTCTAGCGAATGATGATCGATACCACCCCCCCCTCTAGCTAGTGATGATGGACCGCCCCCCCTTCTTCTGTACGACGAGAAAATCACACGAGCCAGCCAATGAACAGACGCACGAGCCTACTGCAGGTACTTTTGTGCATCCACCACAAAAAACTATTCCACCTCCAACTCTGGTATACGTCCTCTTCCGTTGTCTGGGTTTGTTTACCGGGTGTTCAACATATATTAATATATACCAGTATTGGTAACAATATACTGCTTTATTTACCGGGTGTTCAAGGCATTCTTCGTGGAATCTGAACAAATGGAAACATGTAGTGTCCGTGGTGTACAAAGCAGTCTCTGTACAGGGGCAGGGGGGAATCTGGGGGGGGGTGAGGGGGCTCAGTGGATGATAATAGGAGGGTATGTAGTATTTAGGGGGTACCGTGGATCATTTTGGTCAAAAAAACGTTGCATATGGGCAAAATAAAAAATACTCTGCGGCTATCGACGTATCTCGACGAGGCAGTCACGACTGTTGTTGTTTCACGTTTCAATTCTTTTTGCAAAACAAGTTATCGCACAAAACGTGATTGGATAAATTGCTCTGCACGGACTACCTTACAGGTTGTTTGCCTACGTGCCCACCCAAGGTACATTTTATAGACCAGTGTGCTCACCCCAGTTACGTACCAGGTACATTTGCAAACCAGTGTTGGGTTGGACTACAACTGGCACGGAAACAAACTTCTCGGGCACTGTGTATCGGCGTACAGGCGTGAGAACAAGCAGCAGCAACAACGTATCATCTTACACGAAAATGATGCCGTTGTACGTGTAGATGTTAGGCACCAGCGAATCCTCCTCGAGCTTCAGTAGGAGCTCCTCCAGCACGTCCACCTTAGCCCTGGTTACCCATCTCTCCATGCCGATCATCTGACGATACAGCAACAAGAGGTACACGACAGGCAAAAAAAAGTGAGCTGGGGCAGTCCAAGAACCTTCCCCTTCCCGAAACGTAAAAAAAAAAAAAGCAAATGCCTACAGCAGTAGTAGCCAAGGAATCTTCTCCCACCAACTAATACTGGAGGCAATGTGAGAGGGAGGTACAAACTGGCCCAACAAACGTCCTACCAGAAAAACAGACAGAAACACACACAGGGCTTGGCTGCGGAGGTCAGATCCCAGGACTTGTTGGCATAGATTGCCGAACGGTTCCTCTCTTACCCCGTTGTATCTCCGCATTCTTCTGTGCCGTAAGCAAGCGGGTCGCGGGTATCGGCCGAAAGCAGGTACGTCAATCAGCCCAACAATTCACCGCGGCGATCTCCCCTCCCCCGCACGAGATCCGCATCATTTAACCGGTGCCCCCCGCGCCCACCCCCGCAACCCGACTTCTCTTGCAGCAGCGAGGATATTTAAGCTCGTTTGGGGGTTGGGGGTCAGGGGTAGGGTTACGACCCCCCCCCCTTCTCTATCTCACATACAGTCGTGGTTCCAATTTCAGAGGGTGCGACAAAGGCCGTCGACCCTCTTGTATCGGAACTCCCTCTTGTCCACGAATAATAGGGTACCCAACTATACTGCAGCGGGTGGAGTCAGTGACAACCGATTTCGACCCTCTTATATCGAAGCCCCCTCTTATAAGGTACCCTCCTTTTACATGGTGCCCTCTTATATCGGAGCCCCGACTGTGCAACGCTCAATATCCTCGCGAAGCAGGCGGTCTTGCTCTTGCCTTGATGACGATGTTGTAGGCGGTGATGTCGCTGATGCCGTCTTTGTGCGCCTTGGTCAGCGTGGCCATTGCCTGCTCCAAGTTGCCCGGTCCATGAACGGTGCGGATTCTCTTGAGCTTGGACACTAGCTCTTGCTCGGGGGTCCGCGACTCGGACTGGGGGGAGGGGGGCCGGAGCGACGCAAAAGAAGCGCCTCAACACACCAGAAAACTAAATAAACGGGTGCAACCATCAAGAATACAAACATGCTCCGTGTTCCGCGATGATGTTTGCTTTCAAGCACACCTCTGAATGGAAACGTGAGTGCGCATCTTTGAGACCAGCAGCGTCAAACGAAGAGGTGTAAAAAAACAAGAGAAAAAAGACAACAACAACAACGAATGGGCTGGGTGTGCATTTCCATGAAACTCGCCCAGAGGGTACGGGTGTGAACATACAGTTCATTTTCTCTTTGTGTTTCAACACTCGAAACATTTCTGAGGACCTCTGGGTTCCCAAGAGACCTCTCTCATTTCGTGTTGTTTGATACATCCGCGCCCATTCATGAAAACCTCTGGCACAGCTGTCGTCAGGAGGAGGCGTCTTGCTGTCACACGTAACGACGTGGAATTACACCGCATCCATTTTGAGAAGTCGCCCTTTACTGCTGTATCCCAAGGATGTAAATGGCAAGTTGTGTTGCTCGCGCACGACGCTGGCGATCAGCGGCAGGAGCGCAATATGTTCGAGATGGTCACGACCTAAGCTTTGATGACCCCGAGCTGGGGGATGATGCGCGATTCCAGTCATCATCAGCAGTCGGGCCACAGGACCTTCGTTCGGTGCTCAAGTAAGTCAGTGGCAGCGCGCCAACTGTGTTGTTGCACGCAAAACTCCAAAGTGAGGGAGACGAACATCCCAATCGTCTTGCCGTTGGTTTACTACTACGGCAAGCACTTGGTTGGTGCCTATACTGCTGTGGTTGACACGCTCTACTCTACACCGTCATTGCCGAAGCTAAGAGCACGTATCCACTTTATGCATTCGGAGACGTACATAGACAGCGTGGGACAGTTCGGTCTCTCGACGGCGGGAGCGGGAGATCAAAAGTGGAAACTGATGAGACAGGCTAGCCGCAGCAGGTACAAGGGTTTAGCCCGGCCGCAGCAGCACCGGGTGGGTTCGCGCCGCCGTGTGCCTGGCCCAAAGAGCGCTCCGTGGGAGCTCCACCTTTTCGCGCAGCCCAGGGTGGTCGCATGCCGCATGCACAGCGTCTTGGAACCGTCGCTCCCGCGTATGGGCCACGTTGATCAGAACGCATTCACGACCAGCCTGCCAAAAGTTGCATTGTTCAGACCGCGCCTTTGCAGAAAACATTCCCCCCGCAAACACCTAAATCGAGATCGATTTCGATTAGGTGTTTGCGGGGGGATTGTGGTCTGCGAAGGTGCAGTCGAAATAACACAGCTTTTGGCAGGCTGGTTTGTGAAACGCGCTCCTGACGAGTGACGGTTCCAAGACGCTGTACGTGCCGCACACTACAACCCCGAGCTGCGGGAAAAGGTGGAGCTTCTGCTGAGCGGTCTTCGGGCCAGGCACACGGCCGCGCGACCCACCCACCCGTTGCTGCTGTGGCCGGGCTGTCCTTTGCCCGCCGTGGCTCCGCACGTCTCGTCAGCTCCCACTTTGGCCTCCCACTCCCGCCGTCGAAACACCTCAACAACGTGTCTCATTTCTTGACGCAATCCTTGTATGTACGACGAAGCAACACCACGAACCCAGTGGGTGTTAGAATACATAAAGCCCCTACACACCGCAACCGTTACGGAGGCCAAGGAACGAACGGTCTTGCAATCGATTTGGCACACTCGATGTCTACAGCGACCACAGAGTTACTGCTGCACACATAGTAAGTAATACATAGAGCACGTGTTGCGGACGCGCCCAAATCAAACCCGCGCTCCAACTATGCAGTGTGTAGGAAGGGTGGTGCATGAGTTCATGCTTCCGCGACGGCAGGTTGCACAGATTCAATCACATATGGTCAGTCCAAGACCCAATATCAACAATTGCGACACCCACTTTATGAATTGTTTCTCTGCACCCAGGTGGTTGTTCGCAAAACCGAAAGTACCGGCAAACACCCTGTTTCCAGGTGCAGGTCCCTGTGGAAAGTTTTTTTTTTATTTGTTTCTTGTTGTCGATTAATTTGCAAATAACCGGAAAATCTTGTTCACTTTTTCCTGGGGTGGGCTTTTGTCAGACCACAATAATGAGACCGGATTTCGACAGCTCTCGCGATTCCCCAGGTGGAATTTTTTTCCGATTTCGATTTCAGCAAAAATTGACGAAGTTATCGCCGAAAAACTGGATTAGAGAGACCATTTTGTTCACTTTTTCCCTCCGACATTCAACCATAGAGCTTCAAAAAGACCACGGCAATCGATTCCTCTCGAAATTCCCCAGATGGAATTTTTTTCCGATTTTCCGAAAAAAATCTGGTTCGCGAGATATTCGGCATTTTGTTTTGCCGATGGGCGGCGATTTGTTCCTGCCACGCACGCACACACGCACGCACACATAGCGCTTGTGCGAGGGTGTGCCCTCGCCCATACGCCCTACTGCGGCACTCAGCACCCGCAGCAGTCATGGACACGAAGAAGAAACGTGGCAGACCACCAAAGCGAGGCAGGTTCAAAGGCAAATTTCAGAGCCATGAACCAGCTGTCGCTGCTCCCGAGCCATTGGACGACAGCACATCTTCTCCGATGGAAGTCGTTGACGAACCACACGACGACCACGACGAAGCCTGGTGCGACGAAGACGCCGGTGCCGCCTCGGGTGGAAGTCAGGCCACACTGTCTTTCGGGTCCGCTGCTGCTCTCGGTGAGTCTCCAGCAGCTTGCGCCGCACTGTCTTGGGTTCGCGAGGTTGCGCCGCCTCGGCGTGCGGAGGGACCTTGTCGGCAGACTCTCAGCCGTCGCAGACAGGTTGCGCTAGGGGCTGCGAAACGTCAGATGGCGAGCTATATGGCCGGCTGGCTGACGCGTGGAGCGGAGCAGCAGTCACAGCAGTCATTACCTCAAAGTTCGGAGACGCAACGTGCGGCGGAACCACTGCTTGAAGAGGACGACAGCAGTGCGGTGCCTGCTGCTGCGTGCACCGCTGAGCCAGGCAGCGACGGCGGCCGCGATAGCAACAGCGATAGCTGCAGCGAAACCGACATGCTTGTTGAAGATGGTGTGGATCTACCATTGCAGGAGTGGGTCGGTGAGGGCGAGCAAGCAGAAGCGCAAGGAGCTGTGGAGGAACACTGCGACGATGGGTACTTTTCGTGCGGAGGGTTTCTCGACGGACACGACTACCCGTCTGACCGGAGCGATGGTTCGCTCGACAGCGACCGAGACAGCGACCAAGACAGCGACGCCGGGCGCGACGGCGACGTTGAGCCCCGGGGTAGCAGTGCAGCAGCAGCGATGGGGAACAGGCGGGAACAGGGCGATTGCGGGTTCGGTGGCGATGTTGAACTTGGAGGAGCAAGCGGAGCATCAGCTATCGACGGCTGCAGTGCAGCCGCCAAAACCGCCGCCGCCGCCACAACCCGACAACCGGCCACCGCTGTTCGACGGAGCTCGAGGGAAACGTCCAGGAAGGAGTATTTTCCCCCAAGACGCGCCAGCGCTGACCGCGTCGGGGGAAGTGGGTCCGGGCGGGGAGTGCGCAAGCTGCTGCGGGATGAGGTCCAGAACCCGCTGTTGAGGTTGAAACGCGAGACTGCCAAAGCTAAGCGTGTACACCGAAAGGCGAGAGTCCGGCTAGTAGGACAGTTGTGGACGAAGCAGCAGCTTGCACGCCAAGCGAGGAGGACACGCAAGCATTGCTCGGAGCGCAAGGAGGAGCTTGTCAGGATATTCCGCCAGGCGCTGGACAAAATAGACCAGGTGTGTTGTTCGTGCGTGTTTGTGTGCGTTTGTCTGTTTGTGTGTGATTGCTGTATTTTACGGCGGACGGCGTGGGTACCCTACACACGTCACAGTAATATGCATCTTTGCCCATTACCTGTCTATGGACCTCTGCTGGGTGCTGGTGCTGTGTACACGGGTGAATAGCGACTGTCATGTTTCTGTCTAAGCGGCACATCAAACGACTTCTTTCGCATTGCACTTGTGTATGTATGCCGCTGTGCAGGCCGGCAACGACTACACGAGCCTGGTGGAGAAACCGGACACGATGCTGGCGCGAGTTCGTGCTGTTCGTGTCTGTCGGGTGATCGGGGCCGTCCGGACGTACCTTACCATGGAGTGAGTGTATGCTCGCCGTTCGCAAATTGAATTCGAAGAATGTGCAAGTCTTTAGGGGAGCCCCTTGGTTTGTTGAGAGCATCAACCCTCCACCCGTCCGTCCATCCCCATGTTGGTGGGAAAATGTGAGATCACGGTAAACATGCTTTCCGAGCTTGAGCCTTTTCTTATTCGACATTAGTTGCAGAAGGACGTCTTCATTGTTCCCCCCCCCCCCGTCCCCTCGACGTCTACCTGCGTCTTTTTCTTTTGCAATCTATGCAAAGTATGCCAACAGTAGGCGCATGCTGCTGCCCCAGTTGTCATGACCGCTGCCGTTGTCGATGTGCATTTTAGCTTGGTTGTACAAGAGCGCCTATGTTTGTAGTTACCTTTGTGCTGTGCCGACTGTACCTTGGCAGGATAAACGAGGGGGTGAAGAAGCTAGCGCACAGCCGCGCCGTCGGGGAGGCCGTGGGTGTCCACGCCCGGACCGTCCGGAAGTGGGTGACGGATTTCTGCAAGGACGGCAAGTTCGTTGTTCCCCATCGAGAGTACGTGAAGCGGCAGCCCTTCTGCTATATCGACGACGAGGATATCAGAGAACAGTGCCGGGAATACGTCGACGAGCGGATTTACCGTCGGAAGAAGGGGCAACCTCGCTTTCGGGTCGCCGACTTTCAAAGGTGAGGTTGTTGCAGCGAGGAACGGAGAGTGCAGGTTTGGTTTTGGTGCGGGAAACGCTCTGCGCATGTTTTCTCTCTCTAAGACATGCAACAGCGCGGGTATTTTTTACGGCTCTTGTTTCTCTGAAACAATCCCTGCCTCCCTCCCTTTGGTGCTGCGCGTCAGGTGGGTAAACACCGTGTGCCTTAAGGAGGAGTTCGCCGGCGGTGGGGGCATTTGCCGCAGCACAGCGCACGTCTGGATCGCCCAGCTCGGATTCAGGTGGCGGCGACACGGCAAGTGCGTGTACGTCGACGGCCACAACCGACCGGACGTTGTACAAGCAAGGAGGTTGTACACGGAGAAGATGTTCGTCATGCGTCGCTTGATGTCCATGTAAGTGGTGTGGAAAGGCGGCGGAGCCGGTACCTGGTTGGGTAGTACGCGGCGAAGGGCGGGACGAGCGCCAATGAGAGAGTACAGTGTCGAGTATGCCCGGCAAAAATGCTGAATAAACTTGTCCGAAAAGCGCAGGCTCCAGCCTAGTCTGTTTCTTTATGCGAACGCGTCACATCGTGTATAATATGCTGTAGATGCGACCCCCGAATACGAGACAGCAGTTAAAGTGGACGAAAAAACGGGCTGTCTATTATTTTTTTGCGAGTTGGTGCTTTCGGTCAAAGGGGTATTTTTCGGTGTGCTCATGCAGGGTGCCATACTCGTAGCGCCAGCGATGCCGTTTCATCAGCAAGCACGAAAATAATCAAAAACGCGTTCTTGCGCAACAGGGAAGTTAGGGGCAGCAGTTCGGTTGTGGCCTCGATTCTTGTGCTCGTCCCCTGCGCTGTTATTTTGCCAACCTAAATTTTTATATTTTGCGTTTTCGTTGGCCATCGCTTTGTTGTACCTTGCACCCCCCTGCACCCAACGAGCCGGAAGAAAATAGTTTGTTTGTCAGCCGTGGGAAGAGAAGCGTACCATACTGATCGCGCCCTCTCTATGCGCCCCCCCTTCACCGCCCTCGAACCTCGTGATCACAGCCCGGAAAAAGTCGAAACCGTGGTGATGGTGAAGGTCCGCGACGCGCGTGATCGGGAGAAGACGTCAACGGACGACAGACGAGACGACAACATCACCGCTGCGGTCGCTTGTGCGGAGCCGGTGCTCTGGCCGGCAGTACGAACGATGCCCGACGGCGGGGTGGACTTCAAGCACGTTCTCGTCTACGGCGACAAGTTCACGGAGGCAACGGGCCACGACCGCTGCTGCACCCGTGTCTCTGTCGACGCGGGCGACCTGGAGATGACCGGTCGGGGGGGGCACTACACCCTGGTGCCTGATCGTGAAGTGCAGGAGTGCTACAAGGCGGAGAGGGTCAAGGAAGAGGCGCTCTTCTGGCCGGCGAAGCGTGTGGTGGCTGGCAAGGAGGAGTACAAGCACGTTCGCGTCCGCGACGGAGAGCAATTGCGCGGGAGGAACTGCAAGCGTGTGGGAGAGTTCAACTGGATCTCTGCCGACTGCGACTGCCACGACTGCAAGCGAACCCCATTCGTCGACTCCTCGCGGGTGCCGTTCAACCGGCGCGACTTGTCCGCAAGTGACGGGCAAGGAGACTTCTGCCTACTCCCTGATCACGAGGTGTTGGCCCTTTACTTCCACGACGAAACGACGGCGAAGGAGAACGACGATGGCGGCTGCCAGTGGATGGATGGTCAAAAAGGAGCCGCCATCAAGAAGAAGGGGGAAGGGCGGGCCGTGCACGTGTCTGACATCATCGGCGTGGACAGAGGCGTTGCGGTGATCGGGAAGGAGGCCTGGGGCATGATGCAGGAAGACAAGAGCGTCGGGTACGCTCCGGCGGTTGAAGTCATCGCGCAAGGGCCCGCTACCGGGGACGGGGACGTGCCTGAGTGTTTCGTAGTCCGTCAACGCTACGAGCGATCTGGGATCTACTTCGGCAGGAAGGAGGGCGACGGGGAGGATGGCCACGCCGTCAAGTTCGTACAGGATGCGGTGGAGTTGTTGAAAGCGATGCCAGCTGACTGCGGAGTGACCAAAACCAAGAACGACCCGCGCACCGGGGCGGTTATCATGACCGTGGGGCAAAACTCGGACGGGTACTGGACCAACGACAGAATGTGCAAGCAGATTCCGGGGTTGATCGCCATCCACGAGCTGACGAGTGAGCCCCACCGCCCAATGGTGATGGTCTTCGACAACTCCACGGGGCACGCCGCGTACGAGGAAGGCGCACTGGTGGCTAGCCACATCCAAAAGAAGCCGGGCGGGGGGCAGGTCATTCTTGACGATTTCCTCGACGATCAGGGGAACCTTGTTCACGCCACATTTCGCGAGGGCGATACGGTTCTTTTCGACACGCACGTCTACGCCGCAAAGACGCCCGAGCAGCTGGAGGAGGAAGAGAGGGAGGCGGCGAAAAAGGATCCAAAATACAAGAGGCCCAAGTTCGGCAGCAGCCTTGGAGACTTCAAAGCGGGCGAAAAAGTACGGACTACCGGCCGTACCTCAGGCCTGATCGGCCAGGCGAAAGGCGGACAGCAGCTGCTCATGGAGATGGGCTTGTGGGACGTTCCTGGCCAGGCTCCCATTCGGGTTCTCGAGTGCAAAGCGTGCAAAGAGGAAAGGAAGGCAATAAAGGCAGCAATAACCGCGTTCAACCGCGGCGGAGAGGCACGGCAGCAGGCGTTGGATGATGCTGCGCGCGAAGACCAGGACGGTGGAGGAGACGGTGCCTCGCCAGAGGAGGGGACAGAAGGCGGGGCGGCTGGCAACCGTGTCGGCATGAGGCGTCGCTGCTGCATTAGGAAAGTTTTTGCAGAGCTCAAGGCGTTCAAGATGGAGCTCAACAAGATCGAAAAGATGTTCAAGAAAGCGGGGCACATCTGCATATTCTTGGCGAAGTATCACCCAGAGCTCAACGCCATCGAGCGGTACTGGGGATACGTCAAGCACCTCCTTCGCCTCTCCTGCGAGTACTCTCTCCCGCATATGCTTGAGATTCTGCCAGGCGCCTTGAGTGGCGTCCCGCTGGGGTTTGTTCGCGGGTGGAGCAGGGTGACGTGGCTGTATCTCGAGGCCTACGACGAGGGATTGGTGGACTACCTCGAGGTCCGCGACCTCAAGAAGTGGTTGAGCCACCGTTCCCCCACGGAGAGGGGTGACTCCGTGGTTCTGGCGAGGGCAGGGGCAGGGAAGACGGAGGAGGAGAAGAAGAAAGCAGAGGAGAAGGCGCTAGCAGCCGCGCAGGAGCTGCGTACTGAGTCGATTAAGAGGGCGAAAAAGAATTTCAAATCGTTCAAGCAGAAAAGGGCGCTGCTCTCGCTGTGCGAAAAGCGCGAGCTGCGCCCGCGGTCGCGGTCGCCTTTAACTTTGAAGGAAGCGTTTAGGTTGTTGGTGAGATTCCTAGGAAAATAAGCTGTCCGAAACGCGCAAGCGTGGACGGAGGTGTGTGTCGTGGTGTTTGTGTTTTTGTATTTGTGGTGTTCACTTTAATCATAATCATTTTTGTGTGTTTGTGTCGTGGTGTTCGCTTTTGTAAATCGTGTCCTGTGAGGCGAGGGTTACCCGTTCAGAGCGTGTTTGGGCTCTTACCGGACATTTACAGTGTGATTTGGGGGTTCCGTGAAGAGGTTAAGGGGGCCCCGTGGGGGGTCGGAGGGGGGGAGGGGTAGGGGTTCCGTGGATCATTATGACCAAAAAGTCGCATTTTGTCCGAACACAAAAAACTCATCGGATATCGACGCAGCTCGACGCCGCCGTCACGGCCAAAGCAGTTTCACCTTCCAAATCGTTTTTGTTCGAAAGTTATCGCTAAAAAACAAAATGGACACATTGTCCTGGACTGACCATACAAGTAGAGCTATGTAAGTGTAGTTCTTCTCAACCTTCAACGTTGCCATGGGGCAATCCGAGCGCCACAGAAGGTGCACAGCACACAATATGACGAGTACGTAGTGAGCGCGCACGAGAAAGGACGACTGACTGCTGTTACAATCTTCAGGACAAGCGTGTTCGCCGTTCTCCTGCGGCGATACTCCCGCTACCGACTTGTAGGTGACGTGAGATACCACACCGCCTGCGCCGATTTTCAAAGCTCGACTACTCCACGACGAAAAGGATGCAAAAATCAAACGACGAAGCTCTCGACGAGCCGGTCCCATTGCCACCATTCTCCATGCCACCACTCGTTGTTGCTGTGGGGTAAGGTAGTCGAGCTTTGAAAATTGGTCCAAGGGGATATCTTACGTTGCCAATGGTACGTGTTTGTTGACTGCACATGAGATGTTTGCGGGACACTCACGTCGCCCTGCTCGGGTGATTCACCACCCTCCTTCTCCTCCTCCTCCTGATGCTCTCCTGTTTCATTCACCACCATCGCCTTTGATGCGTACTCCACGCCATGTTGCACGAGGTCTGTACCAGCTCGTGCTGCTGTTGTTGATGCTGCCGCAGCCGACTCCCCCCCCTGTTGTTCAATCCTTGCTGTCGCTGGGGAGTGACTGCTGCTACTGTAGTTGGTCAACTCTCGTACTGCTGCTGCTGTGGCGCTCGATCGCCCAAGTTGACATCGCGCAAAGTCTCGCACGCCATGTGCGGCCAATGACCGCACCCGAAGCATGCTCTCGGCGCTTGCAAACTTCGCTTCTTTCAGCTGTCCTTGGGCTTGTTGCTTGTTGCTCGCCGCTGTGCTGACTACGCGGCATCATCGAAAATGACTCCCCCCTATGCAGAAAAATGTATTAAATAAAATCGATACATCTGCAGGGCCTCTCACGCACTCAAACTGCCAAACATCATGCACTCATAGGCCGTAAATTAGAGAGGGAGCCATGCTTCGCGCGGCCGCGCAGGGTGCGATTAGTGCTGTTGGGCCAAGATCTTTTCGAAATGCAGGGGTTATAGCAGCAGCTAGGGCCTGGGCGCGGGATTTTGGTGCCAAAGCACGAGCGGGTTCCGTGGGAGGATCGGGGCATCATCATCATGTCGTCGGCAGGCAGCAGCAGCAGCACCAGCAGCACCAGCAGCAGCGATGGGTGACCAACAGCGGTAGGAGCCATGGCTGGGCGCGTGCGACGGGAACACCCGCGCGGGAAGGCGACGAAGATGTCTTGGCCACACGACCGGGTCTAGAGGTGAGAGACGTGCGAGAGTGTCGGCGTCTCTTCTTCTGTTGTGGTGTCCCCGCTGGCAGAACTCCCCCAAGCCGTACAAAGCTGTGCGTTGCCACCCAGAGCACTGCTGAACATGAGCAAGCCAAGAGGGCCTTGTTGTGTTCGGTGCCGGTATCGACGTGTGTGCGCACTTGTTACAGTTCATTCGCCTGCGGAATACAGCACGCTCTCCGTGCAATGAACTAAAGTACTACATTGCAAGACAACCTTAGATTGCGTAAGATACCACGCCGCCTGGACCAAATATAGAGCCTGCTTGTTGATCTAAATACTATAGTTGTACTCGGAGGAGTACTACCCAGGCGCGATATCGCTGTGTGCTGCTCGGGGAACTGTAAGAAATACAAGCTGGTCACACCGTGCAACACTACGCATTCATCCATTGCTAGTCTACCACGGGCTCTTTTAGAGATGGATTTGTTGTGTCCTTTCTAATAAGAAGTAAAAAATTATCTTGGCGTCCCACGACGACGAGGAGGATGCCGACTTCAAATGATACATTTCGGGAAGCTCTTGGCGACACAGCTGCAACGCCGCCATTTCCGGTACCGCCACTTACTTGTTTTTCCTGCCAAGTCATCGAGCTTTGAAAATTGATCTAAGGGATGTGATATCTTGCGTCACCTACGGTAATCATTTTCCCGGCCTTACGTACGCAAAGCCGAGCGCACTCCCACCTCGTTGTGCTTCCTGCTGCGTGCCAGGCGGCCCAGGGTGGTATGTAGCCTTCACCAACTGTCACGACCAAGGTCGCTTCGCGTCGGCACGCCTCATCTGTTGCAGGTTCGACTCTAACATGGAGGTGGCCCTTACTATCGATATTATCAGCTTTTGGTGTCGACTAAGCATCTCCAATGCTCGTCATTGGAGATGAACGAGGCGTGCCGACGCGAAGCGACTTTGATGAAAGTTTTGGCAATTTGCAAGGGTGGCAACTAATTATAACGTTTGAACAAGACACAGGTTACAGGTGGAGGGTGAATAGGGATACAAGCACCTGGGCTATGGCATTCACAGCTAGCACGGTCCCGTACCCCGAAGAGGTTAACAAATCGGTGCGCAGTATGTGTGGTCGGAGTGCATAGGGTACAATTCCCGCCGCGGGCTTCCCCCTAGAGGCAACATTTTCAACCACGTTTTTGGTTCGGTTTTGGAGATACCACCCCTCCCCGCAACAGCAGTGCCGGTGCAGAGGAGACATTCGCTGCATGCTGCTCGGAGATTGGTAGAAACACAGGTTGGTCACGAACACTTGAGAATTGTTTGCTCGTTTCTCCAGATGTTGTGGGAAAAAAATGAAGATCACCTTATTCGTATCGCCATCCACGTTTCTGTGAAGCTCGTTTTGGCGCACACATGGTACAGAACAAATCGCTCACCGAGTGTACCTGCTTGACACTACAGAGGGTGTCCCCGTTGAATGCCGGTATCTGCCCAGAAAATTCGCCGGCACTATTCAAAGTGTTGACAATGACTTGGAAATTCAAGTGTGTGCCGGCCCAAAACACCGGCACTATACCGGGCACTGGCACTATCCAACCGGCACTAAAGAGGGACCACCTCTGTACCACGATACGAGTATGTAGCATTGTGTATCTACAATGTAGCAGTATTTAGGATCGCACCCTGTGGGGCGTTTCCGCCCGCTAGTTATGTTTGCGAGCATTAGTTGATAGTGGGAGTACCGTTCTCAAGCCTTTTGACGTGTACACAGGTAGGTAGGCTTCCACCTCGCGCCCCCCACCTACGCTCTCTCCAAGCGTGTCGAACGTGCGAAGGCTGTTGTCTGTCATGAAGTGTATCGGGACCCTCGGCCTACGGCTTGAATCGTCAAGGTTCGGTTACTCACAAACGCTGCTGTACCTTCCCTCTTTCTTCGCTCGCCGGTAACTCTGCACGCCCCCCCCCACCCCGCTCTCGAGGACGGGTGGCCGATGGCCTAACCTCTAAGCCATGCAAAACATGAGTAACGCCCCTCCCCCCCCCTGACCGCCCCATTCTCTATTTCCTTTGTCTCTAATCTGGCCTGGTTCCCCTCTTGTTTGCCCTTAACGCCTCTGTCCTGTGCGCTCTTCCTGTCGCAAACTCGCGGATGAAAAAAAAACACGCAGCGTCACGGTACCCCGGCGGCGATGCTTGCGACTCGACTGAGGGGAATGTTCCCCGGCAACGGCAACGGACCTTGGTGGCTAGCGGTGCACCTGCTGGAGAAAGGCCGGCAGAACGGCATCAAGGATGTTAAAGTCTACAACATCGTGCTAAAGGCAAGTCCGACCCCCCCCCCCCCCCCCCCCCCCCCCCCCCCCCCC